TTTTTTTTCGTGTTATGGAATGCATTTTTCTTTGGTGGAGCCAACTTTTCGACCATGACCCGGCCCAGTTATGGGTAGCTTGGGCTTGTGGGGACTTTTATCGGGTCCTTCGGTATATCCATAACTCGTTAATCCTTCTCGTTTGAAAATATGAAAAAGTGTTCGAGTCTCCATCAATCAAGTCAGTCACTATATTTCGATATGATCTCAAGTATATTCAGAGTATAAGAATGCATAATTAAAAAAAAAGCTACAAGTACATAATAAATATACATAACACTCACATTGAGTGAGGTTCACTTAATTTTTTATTTTTGATAGGTCACACTCAATATGAGGTTATGTACACCCCTATTTACAATCTTATGTACCTAACATTTATCTAAGAAAAACAATTATACCTTATACTTCAAGGGAAAATTACGTACATGTAGCCTTATTTATATATATTTACATATATATATCCATTTTAAACATTAATCAAAAAAGGATTATATTGTATTTTTAATTTCATATGTACGATGATGCATGTCTCTCTCCTCTCTCTCTCCTCCCTCTACTGACTATTGATGATACGTTTATCTCTCCTCTCTCCATATGTTTCTCTCTCCTCTCTCCTTACATGATGCCCCAAAATCAATGCACGGTAATTCTAAAAAAAAATATATGCCCATTTTGTTACATATAATTCAAGTAACCACGAATCCAAAATTCAAAACGGGATTCACAAATCAGCTATCTCTTGCAGTCCGAACAAAAAACTCCGATCAACTAGGAAAAAAAAAAAGATCGTGTTGTTTTCTAAAATTTATCGGAAAATACACGCTGAACCAAAATCCTGAAGGTATATTCATGTTTATGTTATTGATTGAAATGGGATGTTTCGTTCATCGAGCTCTTACAGTGCGAATATATGTTTAGATATACTATATATATATACATCAGATAAACATGATCTGATAGTTTGTAAATATTAATCGTATATTTATACATAAGATAAACAACATATAAACAACTAGATCGGGATAAAAACATAATTCATAATTTCGAATGACTGCAAAATCCAGAGCAATTTACCAATAAAAAAAATAAAAAAACATGTGGACAAAAAAAAAAAGAAAAAAAAGGGAGTGGACAAAAATGAAAAACACGTATTCAAGGAATACGTTTTCTGTACAAATTGTATAGAAAACGTATTCCTTGAATACGTTTTTTCAGAATTTTTTTCAAAAGAAAACGTATTTAATGAATACATTTTACAATTAAAAAAATGGTAAAACGTATTCATTGAATACGAGCTTTTTATTATGGTCCACTCTCATTTGTTTGTGTATTTTTTTTCCACAACTTAACTTTTTTATAATTTTATGGTAAAAAATTCGCAAAATCCAAATCCAATGTAGTTATACATAAGATAAACAACAAATGTGTACTTTGCATGACATTTACAAAGTTCAACCAACAACTTTGTGCACTCCAAAAAACAACACAGTACAAAGTGTGTATAACTAACGTATAATTTGTGTATATATTTACTACACTTTTCGAACGGACATTAAAGTGAGGACAGGTCCTGGCTACTTCGAACGAACTTCTCGGCGACAAACGGTCAGGGTGCCACGTCGAACGGCGGTCGACTCATGGACTGAGTCCTCGGCGGTGATGGCGGACGGGGTACTATAAGGAACTCGACTCGGGTGGGCCCGTGATGGCGGACTATTCGAGCACCTTGTTTTCTTTTTCTTTGTTTTTATGTTCATCCACAAAATCATCGTCGTCGTTCGGCTCAACCTCGGCGGTCTTCGGAGAGATGAGAGATGAGAGAATATTATTATTATTATTATTATTTTTTGTAAGAGATGTACTCTGCACACTAAAATTGATACATGGAGAGAGAAGTGATTATTTCTTTTATTCTTTTGAGTGCATAAATTTGTATATTGCACGTTATCCGAAAATCATGCATGAGATTTATTGAGTGTATATCATTAATTAAATATAATGCCCCAATTAACGGTTAATGATGGCCTAAAATAACTACCTGCATTCCTTAATTAAATATAATTGTTTGACATTACGTAATATTGATAAAAAGATTTAGTAATTGTATTTTTGCTATTGTTTTGATAAGGAATAGTACAGTAGGTAATTTTCTCAAAAAAAAAAGGGGGACTTCACTTGTGTATACAAATGATATTAATTTGTATGAAGCCCATCAATAATGAATGGATGAAAGCCCAACTATCCGGTATGGACCTCAGCCCATGTTAACCAGATGCATGAAGCAAGACTACTGTTTTACATAGTTGTATTATATTGTTCAGTTTTAATTTTCTAATAATCACTGTACCTTCCAGCATGATATCTTTGTCACCATATTTGCCAGCTCTGCCTTGCCGCCGCTCCTTGGCCTTCTCAACCTCTGAGGTTCCAATCGAGAGACGGCGGTGAACGATTTACTCATGGGGCGCGGCTTGGAGACGTATATTGTGGAACGGACCTGACCCACCCAAAACTCCGCCCGTTGGCCTTTATCGCACTCACTCGCAACAGTCATCAGCGGCTTCAAAGCTTACTAGTGTCAATCAAGTCTCCTTGGAGTGAGTTCTCCAATGAACTCCAGTGAGTTCTCCGCCCGTACGTACTTAGTCGTCCATGCCAGATTCTTATATATAAGTCACTATAATATTTTAGGATTTGGGTTTGGAATTATGGAATAATGATGAAGAATATATATATGTAAATACATAAATTTTGTGGTCAATCAAATCGCGCCACGTAGAAATTAATTTAT